AAGGGCCCCCGGGGGGGGGGGGGGGGGATGGCGATACACAGTCTCCCTTTTCCTCCATTCTTCTGGGATTTTGAGCATTCATGCACATTCGCCCACGTGATTTTCAACCCGCGGTCTGGGGCTCCAAAGACGGTCAGCCATGTGGGAGGCCAGTGCCTTAACCACCAGCCACCTGCTGGCCCCTTAAATGAAGAATTTTTAGGTGGTACTCCTTGAGTTCCTCTGCCCCACGGCTTAGAATTTGTACCTATAATAAATTCCCCACAGCTTTCCTGCGCAATATCGAGAGATACGGAACCCATGGCTTCACTTCTGGCGTTGGTTTAATTATTGCAAGTAACTGTAGTGTCATTGATCGCGCTGACAGACTTCTATTGCTCTAGTCTTACGGCCAGGTCAGCGGAAAAGTGAATCTGTGTTCTCAGGCTCGGCTTCCGGCTCGTTCTGCCTAGGCGGAGAGGCAGAGGGATTGGCCTGTCTGAGTGTCACGTGGTCCAGGCTGGATGATGGCGGGCGCTGGGGAAGATGCGCGAGCTCTCTTCAGGGCTGGCGTCTGCGCAGCGCTGGAGGCCTGGCCCGCCTTGCAGGTGAATAGAGCTTCGGCGGGATCACAGTTAGAGTACAAGCAGAACAAGAGTTGGCTGGACAAGGCGCCCGAGTCTTCGCTGGGCAGCGATAAGCGGCAGACCCCTAGGCTACCCCAGGCAGGTTCCCAAACTGACATGGTGGGCTTGGGCCTGTGTTTGCAGATCGCTGTGGAGAATGGCTTCGGGGGCGTGCACAGTCAGGAGAAGGCCGAGTGGCTAGGGGGTGCAGTGGAGGATTACTTCATCCGTAATGGTGAGTAAGTGTGAGGTTCTGTGACCGTTCTGTGTGCGGAAGTGGAGAGGAGCCCAGTCCTGGAGAATTCATACTTCTCTAGAGCCATTGTCTGTTGATACCCTACTGAACGCAGGCTTTAGAGTCAGAATCCTGGCTTCGAATACCTTATGGGCTATGACACTGACTAGTGGTATCACCCTGGACAAGGCATTTTACCGCCCTGAGACTCAGTTTCCTAGTTCCTAAAATGGATATGAAAGTATCCATCCCAACGCTGTCCAACAGAAAGAACATGCCAGTCGCGTTATGTTACATTTTTAGTAGCCACTTCATTAAAGTAAAAATCACCAGGTGGAATTAATAATATTAGTTAATACATGTTATTTAACTCAGCATATCTAAAATATTCCAACATGTAATCAGTTAAAGCATTGTAGAGCTATCATATCACTTTTAATATTTTCAGAATTTGGTATTTTACAGTTTTAGCATGTCTCAATTTGGCCTAGTCACACACATTTCAAGTACTCAGTAACCCACATGAGGCTACTTGGACAGCAAACATCTACACCATGGAGGGATGTTGATTAATGGAAATAAATGTAGGAAGATTGAAGAAAAATTGTCTAGTGTTAAAAAATACAGTGGAGGGGCCTGTTGGTGATGTGGTGGCTGAGGTGTTGTACTCCTACATGGCCGACCATGGTTGACTCCTGGACCTGGCAGCTTGCTTTCTCTCTTTCTCTCTCTCTCTTCTTTCTGGTTAAACTGAAAAACAGTAATAATAAATAAAATAACCAGTTCTTTAAAAATGATCTTTTTAGAAAAGTACAGTGGAGAAAATGTGGTTAACAACAATTTACTGTATAGCATGTAATTAGTGGTTGGGATGATGGATATATTAATTACTCTGATTTAATCACTTCACGTTGTGTACATGTACTGAAAAATATATTATATCAATAAAAATTAATTTTAAAAAAGATGATTAAAAACATTTATACACTCAGCTTCTCTTGAGAGTTATATAAGAACAAAGGGTCCAGCAGAAGGACTGTTGCACAGTATGGTTTTTACAAAATTCTTCCTTCATTTTCTAGCTTTGGAGATGACATTAGACAGTCATTTCTCTCTAGAAAGTTTACTGTCTAGTGAGGGATCCAGACAAATAAGACATTTACCACACTGGGTGATAGGTGTTCTGACAAAGTGGAGTTCAAGGTGCTTGGGGAATAACATGAGTCTGGGGAGAAGGCTTCTCAGGGGAGGTTTTAATTTGGCTAGGTGTTAAGAAGGGGAGAGGCAGAGAGCAATACTCAAATAAGTTCTGTGGTATAAGGAGATAATGTCTTATATTTGGAGTAAGAGTGTGTGCAGTTATGTGGGTGCAGATGTGATAGAGAGTGAAGGTGGGAGGATTTCCCCAAGGGTAAGACATGGAACGACTTATGGGCCTTTGAATTTTTATCCTTTGGGCCAGTATGGAAGCTTATTCCCTTTAGAGTAGATCTCCACTGAAGAAAAGCTTCTCTAGTCAAGTTATTGGGTCTTCAGAAAAGTCTTAACACATTTTAGGATGGAAAAAACATAGAAGTCATAACTTTTCTGATGACCTAGTATATAAGAAAAGCTCTTGTTTTCTGCTCCCACTTAGGAGTCACAACAGTCATTAACATTATTAAAGGCTTGAATAAGGATCAGAAACCTGTTTGCCTTTGTTTCCATTTAGCTTTGTATAGCTAGCTTCCTTTAAAACCCCACAGAACAGATATACTTCTCAGAGGCAAACTGAAACCCTGTAGATGATGGTAATTCATGGGCAGGTTCTAAGGTGAGTAATAGGGTAGGATTTGCTATCTACAAAGAACACAAAATAATCAGTATGGAGCATGGACTGGAGAGGAAAAGATTGATGAGAACAGTGTTTTTGTCCAGAAAATGATGAAACCTGGAATAAGGCAGTGGGAAGTGATGGGAAAGAAGGGTAGGTTAGGGCCTCAGAGATTGCTTGACTATAGAGAGGGAGAGAAAAGGAGGCAGGTTTCTGGTTTGAGTTGCTGGGTGGATTAGGTGCTATTAGTGGAATAGAGGAACCCTGGAGGATGAGAGGCAGGTTTGGAGGGTAAGGTTATGAGTCTGGCTTTGGATAATGGAGGGTCTTAGGCATCTGTGAATTACCCAGGCACAGAGTAGTCTGAGTTGGAGACAAATTTGTGAGATACTAGGTTTGAGTGGTAGGGAA